TTCTTTCTAAAATTACTTTGTCTTCTAATTCTTCTTCTTTTTTTTTTTTTTTAAAAAGGTAAAGCAATTGCGAGGTAGCGTTCCACCTTCTTTCATCAACCAGTCTCAATGATCATCATCATTACCGGTTGGAGCTCTTGCGGTTTTCCACTCCGAAACAATTTTTAATTTGAAAATTAATTTAATAAATTAAACTGACTAATTGGAATCAGTTGTTTCGAATACTTACAAAGCCTTAATATTATAATACACATTGTCATGTTAACTGTCTTTTTCTTATCATTTGCATCATCGGTGTTATTATTATTATTATCAATATAATGATGCTACTACCAATATCATCATTTATTGTAATCGTAATCATAATCGTCATACCAATTAGTGACATCATGAGTATTAACAAACATAATTTTAAATTATTGGAAGTTAATGAGCCATAATCGGGACTTTTCCTGTTCTTTGTACTAATCAATCAAAAGGAAATTCTTTTAGTTTAAATGGTTTTTGACTCTTTTGCAATTTTGTCTTATGTTAATATGATTCCAATTTCAATTTTACATCAAAATGAATTTTTAAAATTTCACTGAAGGAATCGAACAATTTTATGATAACACCATCGCTTATTCAAATTTTACTCATAAGTTGCTTGTCAACGTGGAACAGGAAACAAAATCACTATCACCACTGTTATTAGACATCTTCTTCTGTTTCAATCATTGATTATTTCGTTGATTTAATTAATTTTCCATAAAATTGCATCTTGTAAATTTTATTACCTAAGACTTAACCACCTTATCATTAATGCTACTTTTACTACAAAACGACAAAGCTGCAGATTTTTCTTGATAAGGATTGATATGGGCTTCATTTTTTGATAAGGGTTCTCGAGAGAACTGTAGGATTGTCTGACATTTGAGTTAGAATCGCAATGACTAACTTAAAAATCGTTTTTTAATTCGAATCTTTTATCATACAGATATGGATTGGAAAATGAAATGATGCAATAATAGGTAAAGTAAACCTTTCCACCATATCGCACCTCGTTACAGTGCAAATTCTGGGGTTTAGCAAGTATTCGATTTGAAGTTACAGCTAATTGCATGCACTTATATGATCGATTACTGTAAAACAAAGTTGTGTAATCCATCCACCAAAGCCAAACAATGTTTTAAAAAAAATTTCAAAAATTCAAAATCAAAAGTTAGAAAATAAGTTTAATTTAAAAAAAAAAAAAAAAGAGTAGAAGTGGTTATGTAATTAATGGAAAGTGCTTGTATCATGACGACAGAGTACTTCATTTATCTTCTTATTTTGCACCCGTTGTCCCATCTTTATCAATACCTATGGGGAATACATGGACCCATTTCAGTATCATTAACTACTTCTAGATCTCATCATCCAATATGATACTTTTTGCTATCACTGTCATATATTCCTGCTATGTTTAAGATTAAAATTGTTTATCATTCACATCACATCTTTAAATCAATGATAACGGTAGAGAAGAAATGACAAGATATCATTAATTTTCGACAAATTATTAAAAAGAGAAAATGAAAAGATAATTAATGAGAGGAAGAGAATGATTGAGAGTTGTTAGATAGATGCCATCAATTCACATCAATAAGGAAAGGAATCAGTACTGTTTATAATTCAAATTTTTCGTCTATCATTAAAATGTTAATTTAAACAAAAATGCAAATGTCATATAATTGAGCAATCAAACTAATCAGTGTTAATATAATAATATCACGACGAAATTAATGACAGTCACATGGATTTTCTTTGCTATTTTTATTTAATTATACATATTCCCATAATGAATAAATCTGGTATGATATTAACTGTCCTTTCTTATTGTAATAACAGTAGGAGGAAGATTAATTGGTTTAGCATCCGTTCTTCAGTTTTCTACAATGATTTGATGAGAAAGAACGAATGGAATCAGGTTAAGGTAAAATAATTAACAGTATGTTATGTTAATTACTTCATAATATTAATTCATTCATTACCATTTGAATATTTGACAATTATACCAGTTATTATGATATTCACTTACTGCTTATCGAATTTAAAGGACACCGTTGTGACATGAACAAAACATGTGTTCAATGTGTTGTTACCGTAGAGCCGATATAATAAGATCAAACGATATGACATACTGCTACTAGAAGATAGATGACAAATGAACGATATGACATACTGCTACTAGAAGATAGATGACAAATGAGCCATTTTTGGGTTATTGGTTAATTTCATGAACATTCCTCTCTCTCTCTCTCTCTCTCTCTCTCTCTCTCTCTCTCT